CATCTTTCAGAGACCTGACTTCCTGCTCTGGTTGTCCCACAGTTAGCTTTTTGTTCTGTCATTGATGCCAGTGACAACAAACTGAAAAAAGCAATTGAGTTGATCTGAATTGATTGTATGCTTCTCTGATTGTGTGCCTTGTGCTAAGAGTTTTGTTTGCAACATCATGGCTAATGGTCATGATTATTTCTTGTCCTGCGTTCAACTACACTGAAACAAAGTGCTTGCAACAACTTGCTATGTCAGATTAGCTGTATTTTGACCCAATATTCTGTAGGTATGATTCAGTTAAGTCCTGGGTAGGAGATTAAACCTTTAGGTGGTTAAGTTCTTGCAGTTGATGAAGTACCTGTAAATACCAGTTAGTTTTGTTTGCTCTAGCTTTATAATGATAGCACAAAGTCCAACCTGATTCTGATTCCTCTCCCCTGCTCCCCTGCTTATTTCCAGTTTGGATAGCTTCTTAGTGTTTTTTCATGTAATGACTAATTTTGTGTAGCATAATAGTTCATAAATCCTTCACCATGTCAGAGTTACTTGAGTCTTGTAATAGACCATATGCATGCATTCAGTATCAAGAAAAAGAACAATGGGTTATGGAAACACTTAAACAGTAATTTTTAAATTGCGGTCTTTGCAGCAGCACACCTATCCATTACAGCAGGGCAATTTTGAGAGTGCAACTTAAACAGTTTTTCTCTGAGGTACAGAGTAGTGATTATTCTCTGCGGTCTTGCCAATATTACTATATTTCTTTGTCATACACAACTAGTCAAGATAGGAATACATACAAGACCAAGACATCTGGAAACTAATAGGAAACAACAAACTTGCAGCCTGGTTCACGACAACATTTCATGCCAGCATTGTCTTCAGAGTGTGATCCTGGTAAACTGGGATAATGTAAACTTAAGCTTAAATAGCATTACATAGAAAATTTGCTAGAATTAGTGCAACTCAAAGCCTGTGCTTTATTAGGTCATCACAGATGTGAAAAACAAATTTCATATTGACTCCAGAATTATATCCATATATCTGATATAGACTTTGGTAATGTTTATTTGAAATGGATTGTCTGAAGCCAAATCCTTGCCTAGTTCATGTAAGTCAGCATGGCTTCTTTCAAACTGACCTCCATGCAGTTTTTTGTTTTGGATCTTTTCTGAAAGCAATGTTCTTTAACTGTGTTATGATGGAAGTAGTTTAAAGATCAGCTTTTTGTGCAGTGTGATCTATGGAGCCATTCAATGCTCTGTTTTCCATGTGCTTTATTTAATTTCTGTCAGGTTGTTCAATGGGTGTTTTGTACTAACGCTACCTGTCTGAGCCTGTTGTTTGTGTTGGAGCTGGTGAACCACCTGCCCAAGTTATTAACTTACATTGGTTATTTTTACCATAGGCTTACATCCCTTTTGATGCTTTGGGCTCATATCTGTTACAGGAAAGTATTTCTTATGAGAGGTATTAAGTTACATTAAATATTATGGTGTTATTAAAGGATCTGTTCAGTGGAATTTCAAATAACTAATCTTAGGTAATCAACAATAAATGTAGAGCCAAAAACTTTTTACCTTTACTGTTTTTTTTCCACAGTATTGTTAATGAAATAACAGAAACCAATATTTCTCCAGGCAAAAAACACTGTGTAATTTTAATCTGTGTGTGACAGT